GAACAACTGGCCTGCCTGAGGACGCCCATGCACATTTCGAAGACCTTCCCTTCGATGGGGCAGGTTTCTTTAACACTGGAAACTGGTGACATCTTAGAAAATGTACAAAAGAAAAGATCAGTGACTAGAGGTTGGGGAGTTTATCCTTCCTACCACAAATGCCATCAACAAAATCGATGGAGGTGGCCTTATAACTCTTACCAAAAATTCCAACGTGACCCTCCAAGAAAAACATCTTACACACCCTATTTCAAAAATCGAAAAACCAAACCTCGGCAACAGCCCATTACTAGGCGAAATGACCGCAAACCCAAACGTCATGTTTGACGCTCCTTTGACTGAGATTGCAACCCAGCCCATCCACCCTGCCCTCTGGAAACACTTACCTGCCTAGGCATACATCACCACGGATACCTGGGTGCTATCCATCATCTGAAACTGCTACCGCATCCATTTCTTCAAACTTCCTCCAACAACTCACATCATCACTCCACCTCCGCAAACTCTGCAAGAAGAAATAACAAATTTACTTCTCAAAGACGCCATACAGTCCATCTCTCAATACAACAAAGGTTACCATGTTTTTCCGTGATAAGACGCCCCCATGTATAAGACGCCCCCCACTTTTCTAACCCAAAATTAAGAAATCTTAGTGGGGCCTAGCAAGTGTAGGGGGAAAGGGATCAAATCACTGCAAGATCGCTTTGATCCCTGCTTTCTCCCTTCATGCTAAGCCCCGCGGGGCTTAGCAAGAGGAGGGGGAAAGGGATCAAAGCAATCCCGCAACTGCACGATCATTTTGATCCCTTTCCCCCTTATACAGCCACAGGATTGCTTTGATTCTTTTCCCCCTCCTTTTGTTCAGCCCCATGGGACTAAGCAAGCAGAGGAGAAAGGGATCAAAGCGATCCTGCAGCGCTTTGATCCCTGCTTTCCTTTTGCTAAGAATTAGCAAGTGGAGCGGATAGCAGGGATCAAAGCCCTGCATGAGCAATTTGATCCCTGCTATCCCCTCCACTTGTTCTTGTACTCTCCTCAGCTTACTTCCGTGTATAAGACAACCCTCAATTTTTAGTCTAAAAATTTTAGACAAAGGTATAGTCTTATACACGGAAAAATACAGTATATCTCTCGCTATTTCACCGTCCCCAAAAAAGACGGAGGGCTTCGCCCAATCTTAGATCTAAGTGAATTGAACAAATACATCATCACCAAAAAATTCCGTATGGTTACTCTGGAATCAGTTCTTCCTTTACTTAAAAAAAACCTACTGGTTTACGGTCATAGACGCCTATATTTCCATATTTGAATACATCCTGCACACAGAAAATTCCTTTGTTTTCAACTAGGGTCACAAGCCTACCGGGTTCAAAAGGTTCCCCTTTGGCCTTGCAACAGCTCCAAGAGTGTTCACCAAGTGCATAGCACCAGTAGCTGATTACCTCAGACTTCAAAACATTCTAATCTGTCCATTTATTGACGACTGGCTCCTCGTAGCGCACTCCCGTGCACACCCATTTTCCCCTTGCCCTCTTTCACGATCTCAGTCTTGCAGTCAATGAACAAAAATCACATTTAAAACCTACAAAGATTGTTCATTATATAGGTGCACTTATAAATTCCACACAGGCCTGCGCCTTTCTCTCTACTAACAAGAGACTAAATCTGATCACCTTGCTTCAAAGTTTCACTCCTCATGCCATGATACCCACCTTAATGTGTTCTATGCACCATGGCCTCTATGACTTCAGTCATACAACACATACATCTAAAAGTGAGATCTCTCCAATCTTGGTTTCTTGCTATTTTCAATCCATTGACAGACCCTCCTCACACTCTCTTAAGGGTCACTCCACAACTTGCCTCCCAGCTTCAGTGGTGGCGTTCGCATCTCAACCCTTTTGTCAGACGACCTTTCCAACAACCACATCCACAAATACAGGTCACCACCGACACCAGCCTCACAGGCTGGGGAGCACACTGCAAATCCCTCAAAATCCACGCCAACTGGTCTCACAGAGAGAAATAGCTCCACATAAACAAAATGGAGCTACTGGCAGTTATAAAGGCCTGCAAAGCCTTCAGAAATCTTCTTGTAGGCAAAATGGTACAGATTACCACTGACAACAGCACGGCAATGTACTGTATCTTCAAACAAGGTAGCACCCACTCTCCAAGTCTCCTCTACTTAGTGGTCGACCTATGGGAGTGGTGTCTGGCACATCATATCTGTCTCACAGCTTTACACATAGCTGGCCAAGACAATGACCTGGCAGACTTGCTCAGCCACATGAATTCCCAAACTCACAAATGGGAACGAGACTAGTCAGTCTTTCCCTACCTTTGCGAGATATGGGGCATACCAAGTGTCTATCTCTTCGCCTCCTGCATGAATCAGAAATGCAAACGATACTGCTCCTAAACCGGCGTTGGCGAACACTCCCAAGGGGACGCATTTGTTGGCCCAAAACCCTCACTTACCTTTTTCCTTCGTTCCTGCTCCTCCACAAAGTCATGGTTCGCCTTCAACAAGACAAAACCAGTGTCATTGTGATAGCTCCTTAGTGGCTGAGACAGCCCTGTTTCCCAGTCCTCCACAATCTCTCATCAGACATCCACCATATCCCCCACCTGCCATACCTCCTCACACAGAATAACTTCCAGGTCCTCCACCTGGACTTACCTGTTCTGCATCTGGCAACATGGAGAATTATCCCTCGCTAATGAACATTCTCCATCAAGCTAAAAAACCTTCCACCAGGAAAGCCTACCTATATAAAGGGAAAAATGTAAGTCATTCACCAAATCGTCCTCATTACCTTCTGTCAATCCATCACTCACCACCGTTCTTCATTTCTTACTCCATCTCAAGTCCAATGGCCTTTCCATCTCATCCCTAAGAGTGTACCTTTCTGCAATAGTTTCTTATCAACCTCCAAATTCTCCAGCAGCTAATTTCTTCAGACATCCAATACTAAAACATTTTCTTAAAGGTCTCTTTCATATGTACCCAGATATTTGACCACCTTCTCCACAATGGTTGCTAACTCTGCTTCTGAAACAAGTTACCTAAGCAGCTTTCGAGCCTTTAGCTACAACGGATCTATGACTCCTCACCTTTAAAAAAGCTTTTCTCGTAGCTATCACTTCAGCTCGCCGAGCCAGCAGCTTAGCAGCCCTGCGTTTTAACTATCCTTACTTACAGTTTTTCCCAATAAGGTGAAGTTATCCATGGATATTTCCTTCCTTCCCAAAGTGATCTCTCAATTTCATCTCTCCCAACCGATTGTTCTTCTTTCATTCTTCCCATCACCTTCTTCATATCAAGAAAGACCTATCCATGCATTGGATGTCAGACAAATCCTTGCCTTCTATCTCCAACTTATGCAACCTTTTAGACGGTCACCTCGTCTTTTCATAAGCCATCAACTACCTACTAAAGGTCATCAGGTAACTTCCCAGACTATATCTAGATGGGTCACCTCAACCATTCACTTGGCATACCAACTTGCTTGACAACCAGTCCCTAGAGTGATTCGCCCTCACTCCACTAGGGCAGTGGCAGCTTCTACAGCTTTTCTTCGTGGCGTACCACTTCCAGATGTATGTGCTTCTGACACTTGGGCACAGCCATCTACTTTCATCCGTCATTATAGACTCTACCTCTGGCAGAAGTCTGATGTGGTCTTTGGATGTGCTGTTCTAGCCTCTACCTTGGTGTCACACCCTGCCTCTAGGTAAGACAGCTTACTAGTCACCCAGAGTGTGATTCACAGAGGACACGAAGAAGAACAACAGGTTACCCACCTGTAATTGTAGTTTTTCAAGTGGACCTCTGTGATTCACACATCCCACCTGACTTCCCCCCTTTCATGCCATTCTGCTTACTACTAAGCAGCGCTTGACACAACTGAAAGGAAAGGCTTGGTGCCAAGGTACTTATAAGGGGGAGGAGTTTATTCTAATGTGTTTATTGCTACCGCAGAACCTCCAGAATCTTCCAATGAGACTCTGTGCAGGCACGGATAACCCAGGGTGTGAATCGCAGAGGTCTACTTGAAGAACTACAATTATAGGTGGATAACCTGTCGGTTTTTATCATGCCATTCAAAATTGTAGCAGTGTAGCCTACATACAATAGAAATTGATGGGTACAGTGGGAAGAAAGTGAAGATGTCCTTTCCCGTTTCGTACAAGAGCTGCAGAGGACTGCTGGCTTCCCTTGTGGGGTAGTTCTTGCCATGAATAGGAATATTCCTTTTAAGGGCTAAAGGCACATTGTGGCATTTTACTGCAAGCCTTACTTGGGATCTCTAGTTGTGAATCTGATTGTTTACAATCTTTGGTTCTGTAATTTTCAGAATGTGTAGTATTTTTGCAATTGCTGTATCAAAGCAGTGTTAGCTTGGTTACTGACAAAAGGAGGAAGCAGAAGGCCTCCTGATGTCTCCCAGTTTGTTACACACACACACACACCCCAGTGCATGGTCCAAGTGTCTCTTCCCTTTGCAAAGAAGGAGTTCTGTGCCTCTTCTGCACAGAGAGAGGCCAGATGAGGTTAGGGAACTGGGCTTCAGAAGAGCAGAGGGGATTTCACTGAGGGGCCAGCTCCCTGCCACCACTCAGCCTGCTGACCTGATCTTAGGTCAATAAATTGTTTATGTAATAGTGATGTAAAGTTTTCAGCAATGGTATAAAATTTTAAATTTTTAATGGCCTAGGACTAGGTGAATACTTAATTTGTCATCATCTTGATTTATCTTCTGAACTGCACTAATAGAACTATAGTGTACGGGAACAAAATATATTTGAAATGTAAACCCTTGAAATGTTTAAAAGTATATTACTTTGAACAACAATCAAAAAGTAAAATTAGTTCACAATAGTTAAGAGAACAGTTTGTCAAATCAAACTTTTTAGCATTGATACGTTTTTAAAAAATATTCTCAATCATCATAATTCTGGTTGTACATTTTTGTTTTGCCATTGTTGTTTTACAGGAAACTTCAATTTTATCATCTGGAACATTGCAAAGTAGTCCAGGTAAGAACTGATGAGATTTCTTCTAGAAACTTCCACAAGATTCTATTGTTTATTTTGGGGTAACAAGCAGAGTAAAGAAACCTTCAGCTTATGAGTTTAAAGACTAATCCTGAACAACAACACCTTAAAACAGCCGTTTTGAAGTAATTTATAGACTGTTTCAAAGGGACTGTCTGTTTTTTTCTGGATCCTTTGGTGCCTTTGCATCACAGTCTTGTCAGATTTAGTCTGTATTAGCCTTTATATAAACAGATTAATGCCTCTAAGCAGGAACTCAACATTTGCATAGCCTTACCTTGCTGAGATGACAAGAAGAAATATGGTTGGATATCAGGAGAGTACTGCTGACACATTGCCTTAAAGAGAGAATATTTGGGCAAGGAACAGTTATCTTCCCCGTCTTTGTTGCTGGCTCTATGAATCACACATGAGGGTTTCCACCTGTGTGAAGCCTTGTCGGAACATTCTAGAGCTCAAAACAAAAAGGCTGTTTGGGCAGCTCCTCCTCCTCCATCATGCATATCCCTGTGCCTATAGTTATCGCTCAGTTCCTTTTAGTTGCTGCTGAGAGGACTTCTTGGAATGTGTTTTGAGAGCAGTTATAACTTAAAACTCACCTTTATCCTTACCTATGTCATTGCCCTCCTCCTTCCTACAACCTTTTTATGACTTCCCCTAAAATAGTTATATGTCTGTCTTTTGTGTGAGTGCTATAAGGCCTTCCTGTCCTTTTATGACCCTGGTGGGCCCATTCAAGATGTGTGCTGTATGTGCAGCAAAATCTTCCTTACCAACGGGCATTCTAAATGTTTATATTCCCTCATTGAGGGACACCAGACCAAATCCTGTTGTGAATGTCCAGAAGTTGCTATTAAAAACCAACAGTTCTGGCTCAAATTCCATTTTTGGCTGTAGGGTCCCTGTCTCAGCAAACCATCAGCATCAGTGTGTAAGACCCCCTTCAGACAAGTCATCAAGGAGGTAATCCAGGTGGAACTAGGGAATAAAAATAAATTAAAAATTAAAAAGGGACAAGCAAAGGATGAAGGAAACTGAATCACAAGTGATCAAAACCAAAGGTATATCATCAACGTTGAGAGTGTAGTCCATACACTTGACCTCTTCCAAAGGCTTTTCAATACCAAAGTTCACAACTTCCATTTCAAAGAAGTGCAAAAAGCCTACCGAGTCTTGAGTCTACCCTGGCTAGAAAATTTAAATCTAAGCAAAAGCCCATGCCATCAAAGGACAGGTTGTCCTTTGTTCAGTAGAAAAGGCACCAGGACCCAGTCTGGAGCAACCCCACAGTCCAAGCGGAGACCAGCCAGCTAGGGTTTTGAATCCAAACAGCAACCAAATAGAAGGATAACGCAAATCATGGTCAGACAGTCCAAGAGTCAAAGCCAGGAGGAACAGTATCAAGGCAGCAGGGTCCAGGGATGCAAGGAAGGAACAACAGGGTAAGCTCACTTTCAGGTGAGCCTCATGAGTGGCCCAGCAGCTGCTACACAGACCAGGGCCTGAGCCTGCAAACACCCGGCCACTCCTGGCTCAGGTTGGCCCTGATCCTGCAGCTCCCAGGGCAGTACAGGCCAGATCCTGACACAAGTCAGTGGCATCAAAAAAGTCAGTGGAGATCTAGTCCAACACCTAGATCTCCTTCACAGTCTGCAGAGAAAGAGCAAGACAACTCGTGTGCCTTCAGTCTGATTCAGAGAAAGAAACAGTGCCTCCAGCCTTCATTCCCGACTTTCAGTCAATCTCCTTAGTGGAGTAGGCACACTCAGCATGTGCTCAGTCGACTCTCTCCACTCCAAGAAATTCCACAGCTGGAGCCTGAAGACTTCCCTAGGAACAGACAACATTACTGTGGTTCACTTCCGGAATCAGCCTCTAATGTTTGGGAAGTGACTGCACCACACTGAAAAAGTATTCATAAGACCCACCACCAACAGGAGGTCAAACAGAATTCGATGTACCTGCCACCATATTTCTACAGTTCCAAGCCCCACTACTGCCTAGGGCCTGAGTGGCATTTCCCCCTGCCCTTCTACAGATATCCTGGGGTTCACCAAGAAAAGCATCCAAGCTCCCATGGCATGGATGCTTCTTTTGAATCCCTTGGAGTGTGGGTAGTTGGTACCAATGGTGCCTACCTGCCACCCAAACATGAGTCAGATCACTCAGTATTGACATCACTACTGACTTACAGAGCTTAAGAGACCGAGCACTAGAAGTACACCTGAGATCAAGTTGATGCTTTAATGTTGAGGGCACTAAAGGAGAGAGCATTCCATCTCTCTATCTTCTATATCTTCTGTATCTATGAACTGTTCCATCACATATATACAATGCGATTGCCACTCCCTCTGGCTTCTATCACAGCCTCAATTACCAAAGTGGACCCAAAGGGTTTTCATGACCCCATTGGTCCAGGAATTTTTTCACCTCTTTTCATCAGTTTGCCTCCTGCAAAGGATATTAGTATAGCTTCATCATGAGAAATCTAAGGTGATCTTCATAGTCCCATGGTGGCTGTGCTAATCTTGGGTTGCAACACTAAAACTAATGTCAACAGATATTCACCACCTGCCCCCGATTCCTCATTTAGTCACTCAGATTAAGGGGACTGTTCCATCCAGACTTAGCCATGCTGAGGCTGACAGCACAAAAATTATCCAACACCAAGAAGGATCATTCACAAGTCCAGAAAACCATCTACTGAATGTAGCTACATGAATGGCAGATATTCCATTCCTTTGCCCAATCATTCAGAAAATCTGACCTGCCATCCTCATTGCACACAGTTGTGCATTTTTCTTCTGTATCTAAAATCTAGTGGCTTATCTCATTCTTCCATCAAGATATGTGTTTCTGCCAAGCAATCTGTGGGCTCCAAGGTGTCAAAATACTTCAGAAATTGAATTATCAAGAGGTTACTGCATTGTCTGCAGCATGTCTCTCCAGATGTGTGCAGTCCACCACCACAACAGTTGCTTTCTCCAGTGCGTGACCAGTTTATGAAATTCCTTTGAGCCAATGGTTATGGTAAACCAGAAACCTCTTGCCTACCAAACAGCTTTCCTTGTGCAATTTCGTAAGGATAAAGTTGTTATCTTTCCTGACATGTCCATCCTCCATAAGGTGCTGTCAGTTTTTACCTCAATCTGCGTCTTGTTCTCCTGAATTTCTTTCCACTGCCTTCTATAGACTCATATATTGAACATCTGTAGAGCTCTGGCATTTTGCACCTGCAGAACCAAACACTTCCAAAAATACAGCAAGTTATTTGTTAGCTATCAAGGTTCAGTGATGGAGAAGCATATTAACCCCTGGTGACTTGTGAATGCAATCTTTGCCAGTAGCAAAGAGACAAGTGCCTGACTCTTTGAAAGGACACTCTAGCAGTGTTGCGACTTGCACAGCCCTTCTCAAGGGTATACAATTAAGTGATATCTGCAAAACAACAACATGATCTCAACCTTTGACATTCATCAAACATATATTGGATGTCAGGGCTAAACTCAATGCTGCATTTGAGAGAGCAGCCATTTCATCTACAAGACAATTCCTGTAGTAAGAGAAGAGAAACCTAGATGGATGATGGAAGAAACACTTAAAATTATTAAGGACAGATGAGAAGCAAAAATAAAAGTGCCAAAAGTAAGGTCAGAATCCCGAGTGCTGTATTTAGGAACTGCTATATAGAGATGAAGAAAAGTATTATAATGGCCAGTGCAAAGAACCAGAAGAGTACAACAGAAGAGGAAAACACAATCTTTTTCAGAAGCTCAAAGAAATCAAAGGGGCATTTAAACCTAGAATAGGAATGCTGAATGACCAACAGGATGTGCACTATCTGACAAGGAGAAAATAAAGAGAAAGTGGAAACCGTATACCAGAGACCTGTACAGAAGAGATATAGGTCTCCGTATATCGGAGACCTATCCAGCGCTAACATGCGCTGAATTATGGAGAAAGCCAGAGAGTTCCAAAAAAAAAAATCTATTTCTGCTTCATTGACTACGCAAAAGCCTTTGACTGTGTGGACCACAGCAAACTATGGCAAGTGCTAAAAGAAATGGGAGTGCCTGACCACCTTATCTATCTCCTGTGAAATCTATATGTGGGACAGGAAGCAACAGTTAGAACTGGATATGGAACAACTGATTGGTTCAAAATTGGGAAAGGAGTACGACAAGGCTGTCTATTGTCTCCCTGCTTATTAACTTATATGCAGAATACATCATGCGAAAGGCTGGACTGAATGAATTCCCAGCTGGTATTAAGATTGCCAGAAGAAATATCAACAACCTCAGATATGCAGATGATACTACTCTGATGGCAGAAAGTGAGGAGGAATTAAAGAACCTCTTAATGAGGGTGAAAGAAGAGAGCGCAAAAAATGGTCTGAAGTTCAACATCAAAAAAACTAAGATCATGGCCACTGGTCCCATCACCTCCTGGGAAATAGAAGGGGAAGATATGGAGGCAGTGACAGATTTTACCTTCTGGGGCTCCATGATCACTGCAGATGGTGACAGCAGCCACGAAATTAAAAGACGCCTGCTTCTTGGGAGGAAAGCAATGACAAACCTTGACAGCATCTTAAAAAGCAGAGACATCACCTTGCCAACAAAAGTCCGAATAGTCAAAGCTATGGTTTTTCCTGTAGTGTTGTATGGAAGTGAGAGCTGGACCATAAAGAAAGCTGACCGCCGAAGAATTGATGCCTTTGAATTGTGGTGCTGGAGGAGACTCTTGAGAGTTCCTTGGACTGCAAGGAGAACAAACCTATCAATTCTAAAGGAAATCAATTGGAAGGAGGATCCAGTACTTTGGCCATCTCATGAGAAGAGAAGACTCCTTGGAAAAGACTTTGATGTTGGGAAAGGGTGAAGGCAAGAGGAGAAGGGGACGACCGAGGATGAGATGGGTGGACAGTGTCATCGAAGCAACCAACATGAATTTGACACAACTCCGGGAGGCGGTGGAAGATAGGAGGGCCTGGCGTGCTCTGGTCCATGGGGTCACGAAGAGTCGGACACGACTAAACGACTGAACAAACAAACAAAGACAATTAGGTCAGAGCATCTCCAAAATGGTAAGTCTGATGGGGTGTTCCCAGTATGCAGTGGTTAGTGCTTCCAAAAGTGGTGCAAGAAAGACAGCCAGTGAACCGGCATCAGGATTATGGGTGCCCAAGACTCATTGATGCACATGGGGAGTGAACGCTAGCCTGTCTGATTTGATCATATAGAAGACCTACTGTAGCTCAGGTTACTGAACAACTTCATGTTGGTCATGATAGAAAGGTGTCAGAACACACTGTGCATCACAGTCTGCTAAGTATAGGGCTGTGTAGCCACAGACCAGTCAAAAGTACCCATGATGACACCACCTACAAAAGCACCTACAATGGGGACATGAGCACAAGAACTGAACCATGGAGCAATGGAAGAAGGTCACCTGGTCTGATGAATCGTGTTTTCTTTCAGATAAGGAAGAGACAGCATCAGGATGCAGTATGGAAAGAAGGTTGGTTGCCGGAGGCAGTGTTATGCTCTGGGCAATGTTCTGCTGGGAAACCTTGGGTCCTGGCATTCATTTGGATGTTACTTTGACATTTACTACCTACCTAGTAATTGTTGTAGACATGTACACAACTTCATGGTGATGGAGTTCTCAGATGGCAGTGGCCTTTTCAGCAGGATAATGCACCCTGCCACACTCCAAAAATTGTTTAGGAATGGTTTGAGGAGCATGACAAAGAGTTCAAGGTGTTGCCTTGGCCTTCAGATTCCCCATATCTCAATCCTATGAAGTATCTATGGGATGTGCAGGAACACCAAATCCGATCAATGGAGGCCCCACATTGCAACTTGCAGGACTTAAAGGATCTCCTGTTAATGCCTTGGCTCCAGATACCACAGGACAAGTTCAGAAGTCTTGTGGCGTCCATGCCTCCATGCATCAGAGCTCTTTTGGCAGCACATGGGGAACCTACATATTAGGCAGTGGTTTTAATGTTGTGGCTGATCAGTGTAAATCACCAGCAGTTGATGGCATACCGATTGAACTGTTTCATATCATTTGGAAAGCCAGATAAATTCAGATGAAGAAGTGAACATCAACATTTTAAGATATGCAGATGGCATCATTTTACAGGGGGAAAACAGCAATGACTTGAAACAACTTTTGATGAAAATGAAAGAAGGAAGTGCGAAAGCAGAACTGCAGTTGAACATTAAGAAGACAAAATTCATGACTAGAGAAGAACTAAAACACTTGTTTAGTTAATGTTAACAAAGAAGATACTGAAATTGTTATAAATTTTGTGTTGGTTCAATCATCAATCCAAATGGAGACTGCAGCCAAGAAATCAGAAGACTCAGAAGGGCAGCAACGAAAGAATTAGAAAACATCAAGTGCAAGTAGCACTGGAGTACCAAGACCAAATTCTTGCATTCCCAGTTACTATGTAAAGGTGTGAGAGCTAAATAGTAAAGAAAACTGACAGTAAGGAAAGTCATTTGTTTGAAATGTGGTGTAGGAGGATAGCTTTATGGATAGCATGGACTGCCAGAAAGACAGACAAATGAGCCCTAGATCAAATCAAGCCTGAACTTTCTGTGGAGGCAAAAATTATGAAACTGAGGCTGTCCCACTTTGAGCACATCATGAGAAAGCAAGATGCTCTGGAAAAGACAATAATGCTGGGAAAGACTGAAGGCAGCAGGAAAAGAAAAAGATAAGATGGATTGACTCCAGGACATTTTGGAGATTACTCATTCATAGGTTGGCATAAGTCAGAGGCAACTTGATGGCATGCAACAACAGCAGCCTATCTGTTTATGGACACCTTTGATTACAAGGATGTAGGGTGGGTTTAAATTATGATTAAAATTTTTAAAAGGATTTGTTTGATTATTTAAATTTTAAAAAATCATTTTTTGTTATTTAAATCAATTTTTTAAAAAAATAATTGCTTTTTATCCATGGGATGCAAATCTTCATTTATTTTTGTTGTTGAAAGGGGGGATTAAGTTTTCTTCCTGCTGGGTACAATTAGAAGGGTTTTCATCATTTTTCAAATTTCACAGCTTTTTTCTTCAAAATTCATTTTTGCACCCAAAAAACTGCATTTGCACAAAAACTAATATTTTGCACATTCATTTAAAAAATCAAATACACATTTCTGTGTAAAAACACTTTTTTCATATGATGCTGCTACTGTGTAGGAGTGAAAAAAGTCTCATAACAGTGGGATTTTTTTTCCTATGGGATGTTTCAAGACATACTTTTTCATTGATTGTGAGAACATTTGCAGTTATTTGTTACATTTTCATATGTAAAGTCCTTAACAAAGATACCTAGAATGCTGGCTTCTGCTATACAGGTCTATCCAAACTTTGCAAGCATCATTGGAGGCAATCTTCTGTATTGTCCAACATCTAAAGATATGAAGGTGGCGACAGGAAAGAGCAGTCTTTTCAGTTGTGCTATTCTGCCATCATTTAGTCATGTCCAACTCTTCGTGACCCCATGGACCAGAGCACGCCAGGCCCTCCTATCTTCCACTGCCTCCCGGAGTTGTGTCAAATTCATGTTGGTAGCTTCGCAGACACTGTCCAGCCATCTCATCCTCTGTCGTCCCCTTCTCCTCTTGCCGTCACATTTTCCTAACATCAAGGTTTTTTCCAAGGAGTCTTTTCTTCTCATGAGAGCTATTCTGCCCATGGGGTGCATTTGCTAGGAAGGTTTGTCTGGCACCAATGTTGGTGTGTTTCGCTACCTGGTGAAAAACTTTATTAAAAAAAAATTACTTGGGCATTCTGGCATGTTTTGTAAACTATTAGTGGTCGTTAGTAAAACTGTCTGCAGAATTCCTGTGGTTTTGTTATAATGTTGTGTCTATTTTATTTTACAGTGATATTTTATTTTTATGCTTTCTTCATTTTACTCTAGCTGTTCCTGGGAGTTTTTAATAAAGGGTGCCACAAAATTCATTAAGTGCATAAGAAAGGATATACTGAGTGCAGGAAAAGACATGCCAGGATGCTCTGTCACAGCACACAGAAGTGGTTGAGTTATCTTGGAGCACCAAGTCCAACACCAACTCTTTTTGTCACATAGAGGGACTTTGGCCACCCAAATGTTGTTGGACTTGCCCCTATCAACTCCAGCCACCTATGGCCAGGGGTGATGGGAATTAGACATCTGGAGGGTTAATTGCAATCACCTCTCCAGCCATCCTCTGCGAATGCTGGACAAAAAGAAATGAAATCGGTGAAAATCTGGCCCTGGTATCCCAAATAGATGTTCAAGGCAAATGAGATAGTGTGGTCTATAGTGGGCAGAAGGTAGACCTCTGATTATTTACAGATAAAGTGGAAGGGGCAGCAACCACCACTAGTTCACCAGAATCCTGTCAAATTCAGAAAAGTAAATCCAGCAGGTAGGGGGCATCAAATAAGCTGCAGTAGCCCCATGGTTGTTACCGAAGCCACAGAGGCCTGCACACCACATGAGAAGATGCCCTCAGCCTGAATGTTGAAGGTGCCAAAATGAAAAAAATCATCTAAGAAATGGAATATCTTCTAGGCTGACCAACATGGTATCTGGGTTGTTTTGAAAAGCTTTGCCCAAATTTCAGTTAATCCAAATTTATTGCACCAGATCAGCATGGGTTACTAATGAGATGTTCTTCTCAAAAACTCTGGGTGGTTCCCAGATCTTCCCAGGTCTTTACTATAGCACAGTTTACACAGTATAATTTTTCTTTTAAAATTATTTGGAAAGATGGTTGTTGTGGGTTTTTCGGGCTCTTTGGCTGTGTTCTGAAGGTTGTTCTTCCTGACGTTTCACCAGTCTCTGTGGCCGGCATCTTCAGAGGAACAGGAGTAGGAACTCTGTCCATGCTCTGTTGCTGTTTGTTGGGTGGTTGAGTATTTATAGCTGTGGGAACAGCTTTTGTCTTTTTCAGGAGATAAGAGTGATTATGGTGATCAGTGTGTTTTTGTGTGTGAATGTATTGTTGTGATAAGGGGGGAGAGATTACCTGTCACTGTGACTGATGGGTGTCTTTAGCTGGTCTTCAGTATTTTGAAATAGAATTTCATGTCCAACTTGTTTTAGGGCATGTTCAGCTACTGCTGATTTTTCCGGTTGTTTTAGTCTGCAGTGTCTCTCATGTTCTTTGATTCTGGTGTGAATGCTACATTTTGTGGTTCCAATATATACCTGGCCACAACTGCAAGATATCCTGTATACTCCTGCAGTGGTGAGGGGGTCCCTTTTGTTCTTTGCTGACAGTAACGTTTGTTGTATTTTTGTGGTCGGTCTGAATATTGTTTGCCTTTGTCTTTGGAAAGACTCTGAAATAATGAAACCATGTGCTTTATTGCTGAACAAATTCTTGTTTAAAGTTGGATCAAGTATGCAGAAATATGTGTATATTCTAGGCCTTAAAGGAAGCTATGAATTGATGATGCCACCTACTGAAGCTGGCTCTCTACTTGATTCTGAAGATGTTGGTGAGTAAACAGATTGGAAGTAGAATACACAGAGTGATGATAATCTCACTGAGTAGGCAGATTGTTATATACACATACACAGTACGGTAGGGTGGGGGAGCGGATACTCCAAAAGCGAGTTTTGATTAAATCAAGGATGAGGAAAAGGCCCAAGTATGTACTTGTCTGAAGTTATCTTTGAGCTGCTTCTTAAAGGAAAGAGCTGTAAACATTAAAGAGGATTCTCCACAGTTATTTCAAAGCATACTGTGCCCTAAGGAAATTTTCTCAGGATCACCCATTGTTACTGCATTTTTGTCTCCCCTTGCTTTCAGTTCCATGCACTCCAATAAAATCTTCCTTCTGTCTGGAAGATATTTAGAGTCTTTTTCATTAACAAATTGCTTCATACCCCTTTGGTAGTTTTTGTAAATTGCTTTACAGAGTACAGTATTGTTTCACACCAGATTAGACTATGTATCAAATAGATTTAATCTGTATATTTTCAGAAATGCAAATATCAGAGTTTAATTTTCTCCTATCCCCATTTTGGTTCTAAGGAAAATTGCTCATCTGAAACCATTGTTTGCATTGGGAGTAAACCCTCCAGTTGGTGACAGTGGAGGAAATAGTTAAACACAGGGGAAGAGATGATGCAATCCCACCTCCCAACAGTTTCTAAAACCAAAACAGCAACAATAACAATCTTAGAACTCTGGGTCTGAAAAGGACCCTATGGGTCATCGAGTCCAGCCCCTGTCAAGGAGGCACTGTGGGGAATTGAACTCCCAACAATCAACCTCTCTCCACCATTATTTGTATATTTAATAGTGTTCAATTTCCTTCATTAATGATCAGGAGGATCAAGGAATTTTGTATAATGCAGTGTTTCCCACAGAATGTTACACATTCTGATGTTTAAATGAGAAAAGCAAAGATGCATCAGAAAATGTGCTGGTTCTTTGGAAAAGAATGAGGCAGCACTTTTGGTCATGAGAGCATTTATTAAAATTTTCTGTCTTGAGTTTAACCTCGGGGGAAAAAATTCCGTCCCAGTTCTGTTTCTTTCTTTCACAATCACTAAATTAAGTTATTGGCTCCTAAATACCTAATTCGTCTCTTGACAGATACTGGAGGTGACTCAGCAGATCCACCTGTGTCTGATCGATTGCGCAGCGAGATGGCGACCTATGTTAATATTCCTACTGGTCCCACATCAAAGAAACAGCTGCATTACATGGAGTTAGAACTCCAGGAATCCAGTACAAATATAAGAGGTAAGAATGTTTGAAAATAACTGAAACATGTTTCTTTTGCAAAGCGGGCTGTACCGTATCATGAACAAAAAAAGACCTTTGACAGCAACATTGTAATGAAGCCAGAGCCAAACATGCACATCATTCTGATGTGACTCTTATATTTGTCCAGTATTTAGTGTTGGTTGAGGACATTTGTATCCATACATTCTCATTATCCAAACTACCAGTGATTGGTTCCTTCTATCAACATTGTAATTTGGACTGAGGGGTATGAAAGTCTATATTTAACCCACAGGGAGCTGATTCCTCGTTCCCTTTTTACAGATACAGAACAGTAAGTTTCCATTCTGGCAGCTGAGCCAGCATTGAGAAAGGAATGAGTGCTTAGTCCTTCTTGTTATGCTTTCCTTTCTGCATAGTCTACGTCCCCCATTCTTTCTCATCAGGTTGTGTGCCATCAGTGGCACTGTGGATCTTCCTTAAGAAGTGCTGTGACTGCAAGGAGTACAACATTAATACTTTGAGATGAGGCCTTCTATGTCCACACAGAATCCAAGGGATGGAGAGAGGAGGGGGTAGAAGAATATATGATGTAGAAGGAATGAATAATTACTATTACAGTGGAAAATAGTTGAAAGAATTCTATTAAGTGCAGATGAATATTTTTCTAAGTTGTCATTTCCACTAAGGAATGGAAGAGTACAAATAAATAGTTGACAGTCTTTCGGAAATACATAGCACAGTAGGTGAAGGTATAAAGAGAGAAAAAATGGGTGTGTTTTATACATTTCACACTATTGAAACTTACCCCACCCTCATATCTGAACAAGATAAAAAAGCTCCTGTTCCATGTTAACTGGAGCCTTAAACAAAAGCATTTATGTTACAACATAGACATACAATGCAACAGTGCAGTACATGCAATTTGTGTTTTAAATTGTGAGCTATAAGAGCTGGCGCTTCTAGAAGTGTTACTGTTCCCCAGTGCTAAAATTCATAACTTGTTTGAGCTGTCTGTGACCACTAGGTGGCTATTACTGTATTGGTTTCATAATTTATCTTAAAAGTACACAAAGAGGTTATGGCATGCATTGGTGACAATGTTTTTCTACCATAGGAAGTGAATCAACGAAATATGCACAGATTGATATTACAGCCACAGAGACAGCCCATAAAGTGGGGTCACAACATGCACAGTTTAGAGAAGATCGCCTTCAAGAGCTTGAACAAAAGAAGAAAAGCAACCAAGCATGTTCCTCCTAGGAAAAAACTAATTTGCTAACTATAGTGATATTTGTAAATGTTTTATGAATTCATTAATTTAACTAAATACTACCATTGTTTTCGAATTCATACCAGATTCATTCCACTTCATTGATTTTTAGTTGTACAACTGGTAGCATGGTGTGTGGGTGTGTGTTTGTGTATATATATGTGCAAAAACGTTGGTTGTAAACATGTCTGGTAAATAACATATGTTGTAATTTTTTAAATGGCTTGCTTAATCATGTATCTAATACACATGATTTTAATACAGGTATTTAATATAAAGAAAATTGAACAAGGATGTAAATGTAGCTAAGTATTCACAAAGTCTTGGTTTATACAGTGTGTTATTGATAAGTGGGGCTGACTCGATGATCCATAGGGTTCTTTCCAGCTCTGCAGTTCAAAGCTTGTTCTTCTTCTTCTTGTTGTTATAAAATAAGTTGTTAAGAGTTAAGGTAGCTTTTCATGCAAGTTTTCAAAAAGGCATGTGAGTCGTATAGTTTGTGGCTGGTGCTGTTAGATGAAAAGTAAGTTAACTTCACATTTTCAGCTGGCATATTTTGTTTCTCTGCAATCCACTTTATAAGTAGTGGGTGAACCTAGCAGTGCTATTTCTTGCTGCAAAGCAAGATCCACAGAAATGTCTTTAAATGGCAGAGGGCATTTCTGGGCAATTCTGTCTTTTTTGTGCCTTCTTGGTTCCCAGCCTTCGGTCCCCAGATATTCTTGGACTAAAATTCCCAGAAGTTTTCATCACTAGCTGTGCTGGCCAGGGTTTCTGAGAGTCGTAGTCCAAGAACATCTGGGGACCCAAGGATCCTCCAGGGATCTTCAGTTAGAAGGGGGAATCAGTAAAAATGGTTCCCTCCTTTTCTGTTGCTGGAGTATCCTAGAGGATCCAAAGCCACTCCATGCACCTTTGGATTCCATGCAGTAAAATTATAATGAAAAATATTATTTACATGTTTTCACGTAACTGCTGCAGTTAAGGCACTGTCACTAGTGTACTTAAAGCATACATTTAAATATATTTCACAACTGTAAACCTGTTGCTCTAAGCTTTTGTCTTAACTTTTGTTGTGGGCTTTGGTCAGCAGCAGTAGTGTATGAGATGCAGCACATCTAACCCCATATCTGGTGCCTTAGTTCTAAGTGCTGTAAATTAAACCATTATAGTAGTTTATAGTAGCCCACTGCAGGACTCTCATTTTGCATATCAGCAAAGCAACCCCAAGTAAATTTAAAGTTGTGCTGTTAATTTATCGACCAGTGGTACCAAGCATAAACCAAGCTGACATCTGTAATTTACACTCAGAGTTGCATAAATAAGTGAAATCAGCTAAAAAATGCATTTCATTTAACTTTATGTGTAATTACTTCACCACTTGGACCTTTAGGGGAAAGCATGTATGCCAATCTTATCTCTAGACAACATAGATAGTGTTACTAATTTTCTAGGGTGTTTTCTATTTTACACAAATATTTTTTCTACTAAAGCAACATCCTTTATTTTCTGTATGCTTAGTGACTTTGAATCCAGTAGCACCATATTGAATAAATGGATGTGCATTCCATTTTCTCATCTATCAAATCCAGTTTACACCTGACATGTATTCTTCCTGCATGACAGCGGTTGGCGTCAAGTGGTCTTACAATCCACACACCTAAGGACATCCTAAGTTTTTAAAATGCAGTTTCCCATTATGTCCAGGAACAGTTGTTTTCACCTCAGGGGTCCCCAAAGCCCACACTCCAAAATAACGAAAAACCAAAGCCAGAGGTGCTTGTCTGAGCACTTTGGCTCTGAATTTTTTTAAATCATAATTCAAAACAACCATTTCTAGGCCCAGTGGCGGGTGTAAAAATGTGTCCTGCAAAGCCCCCTGAGATTGCCACTTCTACCATTTGATGATTACAGTAACATTACCCTGTTATGTACGTAGTTTTAACTTTGGTTCAGCATCTTGGGAGATAGCCATACGTTTTTATAGAAAGATAAGGGGAAAATTCTGTGTATTTAATAGTCCCTCTTGAAAATATGGACTTGCATTTGTACTTTCAGCGTTTGCCTCTAAAATGGTGGTTGAAATAAAAATTTAAAATAATTATTACCTTTTATTCCATGATGATGAACACCTTTTTGTAAGAATTTTATAATATTGTTTAAAACATTGAATTTGAAAGCAGTAAATTTTTTTGCATCAGATCTTGACCAGTTGCCCTCACTTTCTTAGCCAACCTTTCCAACATTCTTCAAACATTAACCTTCAAAAATGAATCAGGTTTCTGAACAGTCCCCTGATCCTCCTTGTTGCCCTCCTCTGAACTTGATACCAACAAGCTAGACCAAGTTCAGGGTAGGGCAACAAGGATGATCAGGGAATGGAAACCAAGCCCTATGAGAAAAGACTAAAAAAACTGGGCATGTTTAGCCTTGAGAAAAGAATACTAAGGGGAGATATGACAGCACTTTTCAAATACACTTTTCAAATACAGAGTAGGGGCAAGATCTGTTCTCGATCATCCCAGAGCGCAGGACACGTAATAATGGGCTCACATTACTAGGAAGCCAGATTTAGGCTGAATATCAGGAAAAACATCTTAACTGTTAGAGCAGTACAATAATGGATCAATTACCTTGGGAGGTAGTGAGTGTTCCAACGCTGGAGACATTCAAGAGAAAATTGGATAACTATCCATCAGATCTGCTTTGATTTGGATTCCTGCATTGAGTAGGGATTTGGAGTCAGTTGGTAGGCTCCTTCCAACTCAGTTATTCTACTATTCTATGATTCTAATCTTCTTTGTGGGGGAATGTTCTAAGAAATGCATGTTATATCATCCCTGCTCATTTAGTTGCATTATTTTCAGAATATGATTTTTTTTCTTGCATCAAAGGATATTGGGATTAATGTCCTTGGTTCCTATATTTTACTTTTGCAAAAGCAGTCACTATGAAATTTCTTGCATGTATATTTTAGTTTGAATGTGTTAGTACAGTCTTAAAATCTCCAAATGTCACCCTTGTGACCTAAATTTGCCATTTCTGTGTGAATGTCCTAATTATTACTATAATCATTGCTGCGAGTGGCCTGATACAGTTAAATTGGCTTATTAAGCTGGGAGTAAGACCTGTTTAAATCAGTGGCAAATATTTATAGGATTACACCAGATATGTTTACTGAATATGTATGGGATTTCACCGCCAGTTATCAAAGATGGTATATTGCCATGGAGAACTTGTATTCCTTGGTTAAAACCTACTCAGGAGATCTTGAAATACATTCACATTCGTAGAAAATCATAAGAGTGATTATGTGCTTGGGATCCAGTGCTAAGCTTTTCATGTTGTTTTCATAGCCTGCCTAAGTAAAATCATGTGATGGCCTTTTCTGCCTAAATGGGATTCTCTTCTCATCAGTATTTGTGGGCTGCAAGAAACCTTGTGATTGAACTGTTTGTCTATCTCGATGAAATGAGTTTGTATACTCTTACCTAGATTTGTATTTTTTCACTTAATAGTAGCACTGAAAGGTAAAAATGCCTTCATGCAAGTAACTTGCTGTTCTATCCAGGAGCAGATACTGAAACCTGTGCTAACACCATTCATATATTGGTGCATTGTTCTTTAACAATAAGGGCCTACCATATTCATTTATTTAACTTGAAGTATCGCTTGCATACAAGGGAAAAAAAAGAGTGATTTCTCTCATAGGTATGCCAAGCAGATTTTTGTTTCTGATGTTGTAACTAGAGATGGGCACTAACTAAAAAATGAAGCAGGGAGTTCCATAAAAAATGTTAGTTCATTGGTTTGGGTTGGTTTGGCTTCATCAAAACAGATGAACCTGAACTGACCAGAACCACAAACTTTTTTTTTACAATTTAAAACTTCCTGGTTTATTCCCTCCACAGACTGCATACTGCGATGTAGTGGGAAGGGGGCAGGGGCAGGCTCTGGGGTGGAGAGGCAAACGAACCAGGAAGTTCATTAAATATGTTTGTAAAAGAAATGAACCATATACAGTAGTGGAGTTTTTTTTAAGTTGAAATGGTTTGTGGTAGCCATGAACCACCGTGAACCACCATTTTGTGGTGTAACATTTCTTGCAAATACACAGGTACAAACAGCAAAGCCATAGTTGTGTAGAAAACAATTAAGTAGTTGAGTGCCAGTAATGCCCAAATAGGATTAGTATGTCTGAGCCCTTAATTCTCTAAATGTTTTGTATTCATCTTAAGCTAATATAATGGACTACTTATAATTTAGTACTGTGTCTTTTTGTATCCAACCTTCGTTTTAAAAGGCATTTAGTTGCCATTCAGGGGTTACATACCTAGGTGAATTAGCTTTCCACATAATTGTATGGTGTACAAGTTTTTGTTACACATGCATTCAGGATTACTGTTTTGTGCATTATCCCGGCTCTAATTAATTATACCAGGTAGAGGACATAATATGACTGCTACTAAATGGGTGGAATGTGCTGAGCTTCCTTTCACACATAGTACAGTACAGTATTATGCAACTGCAGTGGAATGTCATGCCTCTAAAACCTACATCATTTGAAGCCCCAGGCTAGAACTGCATTTTTTTAATGACCAGCTATTCTCTTTCATACTGTGGCACAGAGAATCAAATCAGGAAATTGTTTCCTGTGAGTTTAACTGAAACATGAAAAAGAGGCAATTCAATTGTGCTTTTTCTTTCTCCACTCTACTACTACTACTACTACTACTACTACTACTACTCACACACACACACACACACAGTGGCAGGCCTTCTGTTCATATGCTGCTCCTCATATTATGGTATAGAAATAATCATACTAAAGGATCCCATCACTGTTTTGTTTATATCTCTTTCTACATCTCTCTTATATATATATATATATGGGGAGAGAGAGAATATACTAACTATCTATCTATCTATCTATCTATCTATCTATCTATCTATCTATCTATCTATCTATCTATCTATCTATCTATCTATCTATCTATCTATCTATCTATCTATCTATATAATTTTAAAAAATCATTCAGCTAATGGGTGAAGCCAAATTAAAAAGCACTATATATAACGCAAGACACAGCCATTAAGGTCTAAACCGCTGGGAACAAAAGTGAGTACACCCCTAAGTGACAATGTCCAAATTGGGTCCAAGTAGGCGTTTTCCCTCCCTGGTGTCATGAGACCTGTTAGTGTCACAAGTCTCAGGTGTGAAGGGGGAGCAGGTGTTATTGCTCTCTCTCAGACTGGTCACTGGAAGTTCCAAATGGCACCTCATGGTAGTGAACTATCTGAGGATCTGAAAAAAAACAAATTGTTGCTCCACATAAATATGGCCTAGCCTATAAGAAGATTGCCAAAACCCTGAAACTGAACTGCACCACAGTGGCCAAGACCATACAGCAGTTTAACAGGACAGGTTGCACTCAACAGGCCTCGCCATGGTCGACCAAAGACGTTGAGTGCCTGTGCTAAGTGTCATATCCAGAGGTTGGCTTTGGGAAATAGACGTATGAGTGCTGCCAGCATTGCTGCAGAGGTTGAAGGGGGGGGGGAATCAGCCTGTCAGTGCTGAGACCATACGCTGCACACTGCAACAAATTGGTCTCCAGGGTTGTCATTCCAGAAGGAAGCCTCTTCTAAAGATGATGCACAAGAAAGTCCACATACATTTTGCTGGAGACAAGCAGACTAAGGACTAAGGATTTCTGGAACCATGTCCTGTGGTCCAGTGAGACCAAGATCAACTTATTTGGTTCAGATTGTGAGAAGCGTGTGTGGCGGCAACCAGGTGAGGAGCACAAAGACAAGTGTGTCATGCCTCCAGTCAAGCATGATGGTGGGAGTGTCATGGTCTAGGGCTGCATGAGTGCTGCTGGCAGTGGGGAGCTACAGTTCATTGAGGGAACCATGAATGCCAACATGTACTGTGACATGCTGAAGCAGACCATGATCCCCTCCCTTTGGAGACTGAGCCACAGGGCAATATTCCAAAATGATAACAACCCCAAACACACCTCCAAAACGACCACTGCCTTGCTAAAGAAGCTAAGAGTAAAGGTGATGGACTGGCCAAGCATGTCTCCAGACCCAAACCCTTTTGAGCATCTGTGAGGCATCCTGAAATGGAAGATGGAGGTGCGCATGGTCTCCAACATCCACCAGCTCTGTGATGTCATCATGGAGCAGTGGAGGAGAACTCCAGAGGCAACCTGAACTCTATGCCCAAGAGGGTTAAGGCAGTGCTGGAAAATAATGGTGGCTGCACAAAATATGGACACTTTGTGCCCAATTTGGACATTGTCACTTAGGGGTGTACTCTCTTTTGTTGCCAGTGGTTTAAACATTAATGGCTGTGTGTTGCATTATTTTGAGGGGACAGCACATTTACACTTATACTGTACAAACTGTATACTCACTGTTTTACATTGTAGCCGAATGTCATTTCTTCAGTGTTGTCACATGAAAAGATATACTAAAATATCTATGAAATGTGAGGGGATGTACCCTGTTTCCCTGAAAATAAGCCCTAACCTGAAAATAAGCCCTTTTATGATTTTTCAGGGTGCTTGTAATATAAGCCCTACCCCAAATATAAGCCCCAGTTAAGTGAAAACCCACTCTCCACCATTGAGCAGCATTCTGCAGCAACCAAAATATGACATGACTGTATTTGAAAAAATGTAGATTGTTGTACATGAAAACAATAAAACATTCCCTGAAAATAAGCCGTAATGCATTTTTTGGAGGAAAAATTAATATAAGACCCTGTCTTATTTTCAAGGAAACACATTACTTCTGTGATTGTCAAAAGGTTCGAAGGGAGTTTTAGGCGGTTCACTGATGTAAGCAGGAATGAGAGGAGTCTGAGTTTCCAAAACAGAACACTTTTTATTGGCTTGTAACAAGGGAGTGTCAACTATAACGTTCGTAGGCACCAAGGAGTCCCAATCATACAACCTTCTCTCAACATGTCCAAGTGAATTAACTGTATAGTCATGTTTCAAAACTGGGGAGCTGGTCCAAACCGTTCCTTGTCTGTGGGCTTCCGCAGGGGAGCGCTTCTCACGGCACATATGGTCCCACAGCAGGGATGACGGGCCCAATCCCCCTCGGCTGGAGGCTTGTTGAATGTCACATCGGGGCGTACCACCTTCCTCCAAGGACCGTGTCCCCATGGGAACACCACTACCGTC